AAGAACTGGTTTAAAAAATTTCAATGTTTCTGAATATTGTTTTAAGTCTGCATATTTTTTGCATAATGTTGTTCATAAACAACACTTATATTTTTCCAAAATAAAAAAAAAACTAGTTGTTTAGAATTTTTTTTATTATTTTTTCCCGCAAAAATACCGAAAATCCAGTCTGCAAACTTATTTGTAACGAAAAATAAAAAATCATGCAGTTAAGGGATAAAATAAAACTTTAAATATATCTAGAAGAATAAAAATGTAATAATAACTCTTTTCAAGGTCCCTGTTCCTTAAAATTTAACATTTATTAATGTTCCCTTAAGATAGAGAGTATTATCGCGTAATAGTAATCAACCTTAATTAAATTAAATGCACTTTGGAGAATAGAGCACACAATGCGGCATACGATACATTAATAAAGCCCACGTACATTTTAACAAGCTTCTTAATTACTCAAAATTACCAACGTTACAAACAAAAGTAATTTTTAGATACCCTAGCTAATTATCTTTTATTAAAGTGATATACGCCAACAAATTTTTACTTAGAACTGTAGACGTTTGCTGCATTACTTACTGTTGGCGTATTGCCAGAAGTAACTGCAGATATAATATTGCAGATGCGTTATTTCTCACGCCTTCATTTTAAACAAATTCATTTACGATAAAAATCTGCAACGTTTTCATTAAAGCACAGCATTAAAAAACTTTTTGATAAATAATAATAATTTGGTGCATACAAAAAGTTGCTAAGATATAATTTTATTTTACGCTACTTTCAAAATTGCTACTTTGTGGGAATTATATTAATCTATTTTAATATTATTAAATTAAGACGCGTTATATCATACAATTTAGATGGTCCTCTTTACCAGGAAAAGAAGAATCACGTGCTTAATACCCCCAATGATTCTCAACTACAGTCTAAATTTTTCTGACGAGGTGAAGTACCTTGGTATTACCCTTGACAGGAAGTTAACATGGAAGTCACACCTAGATGGTAGAGCTAAAAGAGCGTAAATTGCCTATGAACAGTGTCGACGAACGGTTGGACGCACCTGGGACCTCACGCCCAGGGTGATCGCCTGGGTCTACACCGCTGTCATTAGGCCAATGCTAACTTACAGAGCTATTGCTTGGGTACCAAAAGTGCTACAGGCAACAGCGATTAACAAACTAAACCATATTCAGCGGATGGCTTGCATAAATATAACAGGTGCCATGAAAACAACACCAACTGCTGCAATGGAGTTGATCATTGGCATCACGCCTCTAGATATATATGTCAAGGAGGTGGCTCTAGTGACAATGATGCGACTGCGCTCAGCTGGTGCAAACCTTAATCTAGGAATGAGACAACTGAGAACTCGTTTCTGGCGGGGAGAGCTGGATGTGTTACCAGTACTACAGGCAGGCTGCGACTCAATTGAACTAAAGTTCGTCTTTAACAAACCCTACAAAATTGAAACAAGACAGTGCATGGAGACAAACGTGGCAAATGCCTGTTGCATATACACCGATGGCTCCAAAATAAAAGGAGGCTCAGGATTCGGGATATACTCTAGATCACTGAACTTAAGAGTAAAGTGAGTTATGGGCAAAAATTCCAGTGTAGTTCAGACAGAACTGAATGGTATCTCCATAGCCGCAAAAGAGATAACCCAAAAAGATATAGCAGCGAAAACTATAATGATCTGCACAGATAGCAGACAAGCGCTACTAACCTTGAATAGACCACGTGTCACATCAGGTTTAGTAATGGAAGTTCACGACTCACTAACTCAAGCGGTTAAAGTGGGTTAAAGGTTAAAGGACATCCTGAAGTGGGTTAAATGTTTAAACATTTAAAGGGTTTTTACCCATATATTTTGGTGGCTCCTAGCATGTACAACCGTTTGCACTGATGACGGATTGTTTAATCCAAAAACGTTTTGCAATGTGTTTGTGATAGCCCGTTTGGGGCATTTTTGTATACCTTTTATAAAGGATTTTAACCAAAAATTTTTTTTTATATACAATTAATGTGAAAGAGACATTAGCCCCACACAGTTTGGTTTCAGACAAGGATTTGGCACAAGAAAAGTACTTTATAGTTTAACTGTCCTACATCAGAAATACAGAGATCAGCAAAATGCGTTCGATTGTGTTAATAATTCAGAATTAGTAATATTGAAGAATGTTCGATAGATGAGAATGACCTTAAAATCATAAAGAACCTTTATATGAATCAAGTAGCACATGTGAGAGTCGGACTTAAATCTACATCATATTTCTCAATCGAAAAAGGAGTACGACAGGGTTGTGTTCTGTCACCCCTCCTTTTTATTCTTTACTCTGAAACGATTTTCGATAGAGCCTTTAGTGACACTGAAGATGGAATCAAAATCAACGTACAGCTACTGGAATTGTGCTATCTATGAGTTATTGGAGTAAATGTCTTTTCTTAGAATAGTACCAGTCCAAATGTACCGAAAACCTATTGATTATTAATCAATTGTAAAACACAATTTTAAAAAACTTTAAAAAGGCAATACTACATTGTAAAAAGTCGTCAATAAAAAAAATCGACATACCATTCCTCTAGTTGGGTCCAAATAGAAGACAAGGTTTCATATTTACCTAAAACAAAAAAAAACAAAGTTAATGTTTTGGTTAAAAAAATCTTGAAACAATGAAAAGATTACATAAACACAAGTATTTGTAATTGTTATGTTATGTAATTGTGATAATCAGGTCAGGCAAATCATTCATCATCAGAATTTCTTCGATATGTGAATTGCGTAGGTTTAATCGCTCAATTATTGATAAATGAAAGATGGCAACTACTTCAATGATTTAATAGAAAAGGTTTCGCTTTTATTATTTTTTTAAAAGCATCCTCTTTTAGAAAGAGTAATCATCTTAGAATATCAGTAAAACAAAGGAAAAGGGTTCACTCTTATAAACATGATACAAATACAAACAGATAAGATACCGCGCATGTGGGCGTGTCTTATGCATGACTTTTGTGACGTCAACTTGTGCTAAATTTCGCCATATTGTGTTTTGACGTTTATGTACATTTACGGTTCATAGCCAATATTTAATAAAATAGTATTTTAAAAGTGTTACAAGGCTTTAAATTTTTCCCGATATGAGGTATGCAGTGTATGGTTGTGCCGTTGACAATATGTGCAAGAGTTTTGTACCCGGTACAGCATTTTACAGCTTTCCAAAAGACAAGGAAATGCAAGCTGTTTGGAAACATTTGTGTAAACGCCAGGATAATTTTAATGTTAAATTTGCTCGTGTTTGCTCTAAGCACTTTCTTGAAAGTGATTGATGTGATGAATCGGTCATTCAGGTTGGCAAAATATAAAACAGAAGTCAACTACTTTATAAGTTTATAGAAGACGTTTCGCTTTATACTTCTAGCTTCATCAGTTCTAACTCAATATGTAGTATTAAAGATTTTATTATATATGTACTTAAGTTTACTCATTATTTAGAACTAACTTAAAAAAAACAAAAACAAAGGACACAAAAACTTTGCAAAAAATAATATTCGCAGAAACGAAGATTTAACAAAATTTTAAACGTACATTTGGCTTCATTTAGAGATGGTTCTCCAATGAAGACAAACAAAACACTGGTGAGTATATGGTTGTTTGACAAGTTTTTGTGTCCTTTGTTTCTGTTTTTTTTTTTAGTTAGTTCTAAATAATGAGTAAACTTAAGTACTACAAACATCTTTAATACTGCATATTGAGTTGATGAAGCTTTAGAAGTATAAAGCAAAATGTCTTCTATAAACTTATGAAGTAGTTGACTTCTGTTTTTTATTTTGCCAACCTAAACGACCGATTAACCTCTGAATTCACTAGTTAAATACTTTTTTAATATATATATATATATATATATATATATATATATATATATATATATATATAGATATATATATATATATATATATATATATATATATATATATATATATATATATATATATATATATATATAGTTGGGAAATTAAATAATTAAAACCATATTTTAGCATATCCTGAAGAAGCGAATAAATTTTGTGAAAGCTAAATAAAAGAACAAAGAGTTTTACTTATCCTGCCCTATTAATGACTGCAACCTCAAAAGAAATAGTTTACCTAACGTGTCAGTCAATAATACCTAACTACTATATATAAAATATATATTGTATAAAAATCACATTCCATAGTTTGCAATTTGTGGCATTCGGCCATGGCTCCCTCCATCAAACTTCACTCTTATGGGAAAATTGGTATTTTTTTACAATAAACTAATTTAAATACTTAAGCTTAAATTCACGTAGTAAATAAAACATGTAGTAAATTATATTAGAATTTCAACAGTTGGTTTCATCCGCAAGCATGAATACATTTTGAAAATTTAGCACAAGGTGACGTCATGCGCGTGAGTGTACGAGTTTAGTGCGTGGCAATATCATATCTGGTATCCTTATATCATGTCTTATAAAACTATTTGTAGGTTTTTATGATGTTATGAAAATTCTACGATAACTTAAAATAAGATTTGACAAACTTAACAAGAAAAAAAACAAAAACACAAGAAAAACTGTATGCGAGCAATTTTGTCTATTTATTTAATATTTTGTGATTTTTTTTAATTTTGACCAATGACATCATTTGGATTTTGTTGAAGCTCTTTCAAGGGTCAAACCGGTATATTTTCAGTTGTTTGCTATCTGTTGTTGAATGTCATAATTGCACAGGGTGCTTTCTGTTGTACATGTGGTTATTTATAACGAAGTGAGGTAAGATTATCTAAGGAATTTAAAAAAAGGATTTAATAAATCAAACCTCTGCAATTCACCTATTAAATATATTTTAATTAATTTAATTTGCGTTTGCACTCGCATTTATATCTGAAAGTTCAAGTGTATTTGTTGAATATTAAAATAAATTGAAGTACCTGATATCTAATTATCAGATAATGTTTTAACTACCTTATCAATCGTGTAATTTACTCTTTGTCAATGATCTGTTTTTTTATTTTGTGAAATGTGCCATACGATGTTACTTAAAATTGCAATTTTTGTAGCTGGTAAGTAGTTATTTAAAGTAAAATATTCGCTATTATACTATTAAAAACTGTTTTGTTTAAACAATTGTAAGTAAATATTAGATTAAATATAGATATTAAGAAGTTTTACTTGTTGAGTATTATTTGCAAACTGACTATGTAAGGAACTATGTAATTTTCAGATACTATTCTTTAATTTTCTTTGGACTTCTTCTTCTTGAGTGGTGTGTATCTTTTTTTCTACAATTGCTTCTATGCAGTGCATCCTCTATAGTTGGGAGAGTGATTATCATTATATAAGACACATAAACATATTTTCTCTTCGAGTTTTCTGTGTGAGGTATGTCCGTATCTTTGACATCTTTGGCATTATGTTAGATCCCTTACAGGCATTGTTGGTTTACGTTTTACTTTAACCTTTTTCAGTGAGTCTAAGTCATATACATCTTTGTTGTATCAGCTTGGTTTATAATTACTAGAAAGGAAGTGGATTTCTTGTTAATTTGTACGGTATATCATTATAGTTTATTTTTATGAACGAGAGAGTAATTAGCATAATTTTAACTGGTATCTCCGACCACTCCATGGGCGTGCTCAAGATTAATTGAAAAATTACTTTGAATAATTGTAAAAAATAAATGACATATTTCAGTGTTATAAAGTGTTATGTGTATGTAAACAAAAGTGGCCTCTTTTATCACACACTATATTAGAACTGACTGGCCTACATTAAAAAGGGTTTTAAAAAATTCACATTTTTTTAATTTTTAAAAATTACAAAAGAGAAAAAGAGTTTTTAAAACCGTCTAAGGAATGTTAAATAGATGAATAAAAATATTAATATAAAACTTACAGCTACTTGTTACAAATCCAAATCAGATTCAGAAGATGAACTTTCAGAACCAAGATTTATAATAACTGGCTCGATCATTTTATCAGTAATATTGTCCAGCTTCCACATTTTTTCCTCTTCTTTAATAGTGTGATTTACTGCCTTTTCCCAGTTTTCAGGTTTTACATTATTTACGGCCTCCAAAAACAGCTGTTTAACATCATGAATTTTAAAAGTGGTATTTTTTCTTGAAACTTCACTCTTTATCTGTGTCCATACCAGTTCAATCGGGTTTAATTCACAATGATATGGTGGGGATCTAAGTACTGTCATTCCACGATTTTTGGCAATTTCATCAATTTCGTATTTTTAAAATTTTTATTTATGAAGGGCACACAACGAATAAAGTTCCTTTCTTATAGATCCGGGATGGTACGTAATATTTTTTAAACTTAGCCAATTCTGCAAGTCTTTTTTTAACCACTTGGTTGTGAGCAGTCCTTCTATAAGTCTGGAGTAATAACTTGCATTATCCATTACTATTACACAGTTCTTAGGAAGAAGATCTATCATTTGTTCGAACCATTCTTGAAAGACATCAGCGTTCATGTCTTTATGGTAGTCACCGGTACGAGTTGACTCAAAAGTTAATAAACCACCTTCAACAAAACCGTCTGAACTGCCAATGTGTACTATTACCAGCCTGCGTCCCTTTCCTGATGATGGGTTTAAACCAGTAGATAAGTTATTTACAAAAGCGTGCCTTTGACTTGTAACAGTTTCATCCTGCCAAAATTTATTTGGTGTATGACCCTCGTTGATCCATGTTTCATCAAGATAAAATATTTTTCTTTTTTGGTTTTTCATTTCCTTTATGGTTCTTAGAAAATGTCTTCTCCATATGATAATATCGCTTCTTTCTAATAAAATAGACTTTCTGGGATTCTTTTTCCAGCGGAAGCCTATTTCTTTTAAAAGTTTCCATAACGTACTTCGACTCATTTCTGGGTAATCCTTATCATCTCGAACTGAGACAAGAACTTTATCCAATGTTGAAAATTCTTGTCTAAAGAAGAACTCATGCACTTTCCGTCGAAGTCCTTATTTAAAATGATATTCTATTTGAAATTTTGGTTTCCTGGAGCATTACGTGGCATTTGAAAACTACCACATTTCTCTTCTTTAATAACTCTGTAAATCGTAGATTTCCCAACACCAAGTGTACTGCTAACTAACTCAACGGTCTCATCAACACTTTCACATAAACGTTTGTCTGTAAATGATTTAAAACAATTAAATATGAATGTTTTTTCATTAACTGTTAAAGGACCAATTTTTCGGCGTTTACACGGCACTTCCAAATTTTCCATAACACTAGTATACACAATAAACTGCACCTTGCAACTGAAGTACCTACTTTTAGTGAACTGTTAAGAATTTTGAATACGCCACTTGGACCTTCCTACAAAATGGAAAAACCCACTATCACATTTTCTGTGGAATAAGTTTAGAAGGTAATTATCTAGTCAATTACTGTCGTAGATTCCTGGAATTAAAGAATTAAATGTTTGATTGTTGAAACCCTTACTTCGTGGAATGCACTCATTTCAGATAAAATAAAACGTTTTATTTTATCTAAAGAATTAAACTTTATTTTGCAAATAGGTAGGTACTTATTAAACTTTTATTGGTTATATATAACCAATAAAATAAACATCTTACATTTCTTACAAATTCATTAGTACCTGTTAACCTCCATCACTCCGACACTGGCAACCTTATTTAGGGATTAGTAACCCTCACAAGTATTGTATTCTATTCTGCTCCAACCTTTATACCTGGTGGTCATACTCAATTTATAATTGTTTTCCTAGTATACTTCTGTAAACTTGTTGACAAATATCTGTTTTTCATTGAGTCACCCGTATTAACAGTTTAGGGATTTGCATACATAATTTATTGTTTTATTACTCTCTCATACATAAAAATACACTATAATTTCGTTCACACTCCTAATACTTCAGTTCTGCATTTACCTCTTCTAGGTTGATTGTTGTATGTAGACGTCTTGATACGACTCTGAATGGTTTATCTTTTTTTTATTTGGTATGGTTATCTGCTATGGTATTTATTTTTTTTATCCAATAATTTTATAACGAGATTATACATTTCACTAATTGTTTTTGGCTTAATCATTTTTAACGATCATCAACTTTTAGTTGATCTTAAACTTATCTCTAACTTATCAATTTTATTAAAATCTTTAAAAATAATGAATAAATGAGGTATTCTACAAAAATTCGCAACTTAACTGGAGCCAAATATGGTGATATTGCAATTTGCTGCCCGTACCCCGCAGTAACAATTTTTTTCTGTAGGTTGATACCAAAAAATATGTTTTTAGGTGCGAGCCCCAAAAAATAAGGCAAATTTAAGTTTTTTCCAACAAAAAACTGATTTGTTCGCTAAAGCTATTTCATTCTTCTAGCGATCTGCCTTGAAAAACGAGTGAAAGAAACTTCTATACTTGGAGCACTCGTACATATTAGGTACCAATCGCTTTGTCTTCGTTTCCAGAAGGAACTCTGACTTTTTAAAGAGCCAAGAAACACCTGCTCAAAGCGTGGCAAGCGGTTAATTCAGTCCCTAAAATCGACGTTTTTTTTTTCATTTTTTCGCGATTTTATACGAAAATAGATTAAAAGGTACCTCTATAGTTAGAGCACACATACATATTAGGTACCAATCGCTTTGTATTTATCCCCACAATGAATTCTGACTCTTTGAAGAGCCAAGAAACATATTCTCAAAGCGTGACAAGCGGTTATTCAGTCAATAAAATCGACGTTTTTTTTCATTTTTTCGCGATTTTACCAGAAAATAGATTAAACGATACCTCTATCGTTAGAGCACACATACATATTAGGTACTAATCCCTTCATCTTGATCCCCAAATTGAACTCTGGCCCTTTGAAGAACAAAAAAAAGCTGAAAGCGTGGCAAACGGTTATTCAGTCCCTAAAATCGACGTTTTTTTTTCATTTTTTTCGCGATTTTATTCGAAAATAGCTTAAAAGATGCCTCTATAGTTGGAGCACACATACATATTAGGTACTAATCGCTTCGTATTGATCCTCAGAATGAATTCTGACCCTTTGAAGAACCAAGAAACACCTGCTCAAAGCGTGGTAAGCGGCTACTCACTCCCTAAAACCGACGTTTTTTTTCATTTTTTGGCGATTTTAGCGGAAAAGATTACCGATCCAGTTATAATGACTTCCGTAAGTGAGGTTCATCTACCTATCGGAAGCAGGTAACTTGATATGTAACTGTGCTCCAACTATACAGGTCTCTTTGAATCTATTTTTGAATAAAGTCGCAAAAAAATGAAAAAAAAACGTCAATTTTAGTGAGTGAATAACCGCTTGCCGCGCTTTGAGCAGGTGTTTCTTGGCTCTTCAAAGGGTCAGAGTTCGGGTAACAAGAAGAAGCGATTTGTACCTGATATGTACGTGTGCTTCAACTGTAGAGGTATCTTTTAATCTATTTTCGGGTAAAATCGCAAAAAAATGAGAAAAAACGTCAGTGTTAAAGACTGAATAACCTCTTGCCACGCTTTGAGCAGGTGTTTCTTGGTTCTTCAAAGGGTCAGAATTTATTTTGAGGATCAAGACAAAGCGATTGGTACTTAATATATATGTGTGCTCTAACTATACTGGTCTCTTTTAATTTATTTTCGGATAAAATTGCGAAAAAATGAAAAAAAAACGTCAATTTTAGGAACTGAATAACCGTTTGCCACGCTTTGAGCTCTTTTTGGTTATTCAGAGGGTTATAGATCATTCTGAGGACCAAAACAAAGCGATTGGTACCTAATATGTATGTGTGCTTCAACTACAGAGGTATCTTTTAATCTATTTTCGGATAAAATTGCGAAAAAATGAAAAAACGTCGATTTTAGGGACTGAATACTGAATAACCTTTTGCCACGCTTTTAGCCAGTTTTTATTCTTCAAAGGGTCAGAGTTCATTCTCTGGACCAAGACAAAGCGACTGGTACCTGATATGTACGTGTGCTAGGTTGATACCTACAGAAAAAAATTGTTATTGCGAGGTACGGGCAGCAAATTGCAATATCACCATATTTGGCTCCAGTTAAGGTGCGCATTTTTGTAGAATTCCTCAAATAATAAAATTACTTTATTCAATTTTAAACATAATATTGAAATATTAAAAATACAGAAAACATAGTACAATGCTTCAGGTTAGTCTACAGTATCAATTTTTTTTATTTTCTTAAAATTTTCGATATATTTTTAATGTTTTGATTAATTTCATAAATAAATTAAAATAATTTTGAAAATTAATGCAATTATATTTCTTTACAGTGATACATTGTTTGTCAGCCGATAACAAATGTGTACCCCGAAGTTTTGGCCACAGTAGCACGGTATGTGTTTGCAACTCCGACAGCTGTCACATGCTGGAATCTATAGAAACTTTACCGACCGGTAACTACGTAAAATATACAACAAACCAAGCAGGACTACGGTTTGTAAAGGAGAAGGGTGTATTGGAGTCGAAAATTAACAATGCAGAAAATCTTATTGAAATCGGAACTCAAACGTATCAAGAAATTGTTGGTTTCGGTGGTGCTTTTACAGATGCGACTGGTATTAATATTCGATCTTTAAGTGAGGATTTACAAGATTTGATTTTAAGGTAAAATTTTATAAATGTTTGAAGAATGTCAAAAGTGAATCTATGAATTAAGGAACATTTAAATTTCTATTTAATCAAACTAGAAAAATAAAACAGAAATAAAAAGTATTTTATTTTTGTTTATGTTTTTCATATACAGTTTTCATACGTTTAAGTCACAGAAAGTGTTGAATAAGTACTTTTTATGTTTTGTTTGCGTTACTTGGAATTTATTTTTAAAAAGCCCTAGTCTTTGATATTTGTTGAACCACCCCTACTAATCATGCAAAGAGAACGTAGTCAAAATGACTTTCTTAATATTGCACAGAGCTGGAGAATAAAATCCTTCATCGCTGCCAGTGACTTTCTTGTAAATTTTCAAGCACTTATTGCTGCCATACAAAGTTATTATTAACGAACATTTTTCCAATACAGGAACATTTTATTTTTGCAATACAGCTGTAGCAGATGTGTACTGTCGCTTAGTTTCAAACTTAGGAAGATACTTTCTGTCCAATAATCTTGATTTTATACCTAAAGCCTTCTCGTTCTTGAACGCCACCACAAACGTGCTTAGAAGCTGCAGTAACTTCCTTTACAACTCGTTCTACCGCTTGAGTGTGAAGTGGTATTTTGAACTCTTTTTCTATCACTGCTTCCTGAATTAACAATCATCTCAATCTCTTCTTTGCTGAAGTCAGCTATAAGTGGTGGTTCTGTAACTGAGGTGGATTGCCAGTAAATTATTTGCTAATGTCAGCCACCGGGCGTGGGACAAGTTTCCGGGGTTTCTACTGGCCAACTCAGAGGAACATTAACCTTTGACTATAGCCTTACATATATCCCAAACGTACTTCCGGTCTTTACTATCGACTTCTGGGAAGGTGCTATCTATTTTGTCATAATTAACAACCGGAAAGTCTTGGCAGTTGGTCAAACCTTTGCCTATTGGCCCACTGAATGATACTGCATCTGTGGTTGGACCGTCAAGAGCAACAAAAACTTTCCTTACAGGCAATTCGTTTAAGTGCAACATACATATTACTACTTGGACCGGATGTTACAATGCGCGTTTAAACAACAAAACTGCTCCTTGCGGTGTTCCAGTATTCGTTGCCGTACCATCACATCCAAGCGCTTTGATATTTGAGTTATCAATGGAGTTATCACTCATGTAACTTAATATTGATGATACTATATCTTTCCCAGATCCACTGTTTGGAGTTACATGACCGAAATATGCTGCACCTGGTTCCTCGACTAAAGATATGTGTTCTTGTATGGTTTTACGGACAGATTTCCCACGTACAATTTTTTTGATTATGGTTTCATCCTTCGTACCATCGAAGTAGAGAGCAATTATTTGGTTTGTGCGAGTTGAATTAATACTTCGGCGGTACTTTAACCTTTCACGAAAAATCTTGGACTTGTCAATAACTGCGGCTTGGTTTTCTGGTGATATGACATTCAAATCTTGTAGAAGATCACTTGCTATTTGAGCACCTGCTCTGTTTGAAATGCCTCTACGATCACATGCCCTAGAAAACAATGACAGATTCACTGGCAGGCCTTGTTTTACTTTCACGCTTGTACTTTCAATTTTGTTTCTTAGAGGAGGAATTTTAGAACCTTGAACTTTTTCATCACGCCTACTTGATTCTTCTTCCATGGATTCATCATCAGAGTCACTACTAAGAATATCCACATTTTTAAAGCAGGAGGAGTAGTTAGTTCCACATTCCTACTTAATTTAGATTGCAGGGACTTTTCCTTCTGTTTGTTTCATTTTTCAATTTTTTTAGTCTCTGCTTGGTCAATACCTCCGATAATCATCATCCTCAAGTTCCATTGGTATGTCAAGAATGCATGTTCTAATTTTGGTACTTTTCTTGGAGCTACGTACAAACATTTGTCTAGTTCACTACATTTGCATGAACAAATATCAAAAAAATATTATCAATGTCAGATCTAAACTTTTCAATTGCAACTTTAAAACTCTTAGCATTTTTTGTATTACAACCTGAAGATTTTTTATTCTTTTCACACCTCTCATGCAATTGCAGAATCATAAAAACAATATTGTTAGTAGATGAAACTGGTATTGATAATTTTTTCCAAATTTGCTCTAACTTATGTGTCACTCGCATTGCAATTAACTTTTTCCGTGGTTGGTAGCATCTTTCAGATATCAACTAATTTCTCACCCATTCAAAATACCTCAGCACGTCACTTTTAGTAGGTAAAACATTATTATCACTAATGTCAAGAGGCTGTCCGACTATAGGAGCTTCAGTGCATTTTCTCGTTGTTATAGTGTTTTTCTTTTTACTCATCATAGAAAAACAACAAAACCACACGGAATTCACAAGTCATAAACCACACACACTAAACAAACCACACACTGAAATACATGTAATAACGCGTAAACCACATGCTGTGAAATTGAATGGTGGAGTCAGACTAACAGAAACAAAGGGTGTTAGTGAGTGGTTAAGGGGAGCCAGACGCCAGACATCCGGTGACTCACAAGTCAGTGCCAGCTGCCCGTCTCCAAGATCAACTGCTGCTTAGCTGACAGACTTGAGTTTTGACCTATTTCATCACCCAAATGACCCAAAATTTCATGACCTAAAATACAGCACTGTAATGATTGTACTAGAATTTTTTTTACTGTTTCTTATCCATGTCATATTGAATTAAGTATGAAAATTGTGATATATTTAGGGTAATTCCGGGTTACCTAAATAATTCAACTTAGAACCAAAATGTTTATTAGGGATAAATTAAATTTAAAAATACACATTTTTTAACTTGAATATATCATTTGTATTTTATAAACTGTGTAAATTATTTTTTCAAAAACGTATTTTTTTACAAAAAATTATAAATTTTTTGTACATTCCGGGAGACATAAATATTGTTGGAATTCAAAAAGATTTTTTTTGGTAGATCTACGATGGTAGTAACAACTTTTTATCAACTTGAAAAATTAAATAATAAAAAAAAAATTTTGTGATACACCCTACTAAGCACCCTTTGCCCCTCTTTATTCGAGACTGATACTAAAACATGATTTGAAGGAACTGTTCGAGACTAAAGGCCTTGCATTTTTGTAGTTTCTCAATTTATACGAAATACTAAAGGCCGTAAAGAATTAATTAAGAAAGAAAAAACAAAAGAGAGAGATGGTAAAACTTTAAATTGGTATTAAACCGACTTCTCCCTTAATCTAGTGTATATATCGAGCATATTATGTTTTAGGTCCTATTTTTCGGAGGAGGGAAATGAGTATAGATTAGGAAGAGTACCAATAGGAGGTTCAGATTTTTCCCTTAATCCTTATTCTTATTGCGATACAAAGGATAATCAAACCGATCCTGAATTTAAAAATTTTAAACTAGCAAATGAAGACTATGAATTTAAGGTAGTTATATTTAAAAATGTATATTTTTTTATTAGCTATATTTGCTGTTGTTGTTTGTTTGGATTTGTGTGACTGCAGACATTAATCCATTCGCCAATCTCCCAATTTTTATTTATTATCCAAAAGGAAATTAAATTCCTATTGTTCGCTGTATCATCACCATCACCATCAATCAGCCAATCGCGTCCACTGCTGGACATAGCCTCCCTCAGTTCTTTCCAGTGTTCTCTACACTGGACCGCTTGTAGCCAGTTTCCCGCTACACGTTTTATATCATCGGTCCATCTAGTCGGTAGTCGTCCTCGGCTTCATTTATAGTTTCTGGGCCTCCATTCCATAATACGTCTTGTCCACCGTCCATCTTGTGTTCTGGCTAAGTACCTTGCCCAGTTCCACTCAAGCGTGGTGGTTCTTTCGATGACGTCTTGAACTCCTGATATTTGCCTAATTTGTTAGTTTGTTATGTGGTCTCGAAGGCTCACGTTTAGCATTGCACGTTCCATGGCTCGTTGTGTAACTGTAAAATTTATTCGCAGATTTTTGCGTGAGTGTTAAAGTCTCCGCTCCATAAGTTTGTACAGGTAAAACACATTGGTTATAAACCTTTCGCTTGAGACGCTGGTTGCAGTATGGAGGATTGTCTCTTGTAATTCGGTAAAGATGTGTATGGCGGGTGTGACCAAGTCGAAGCATTGTAAAGCTTTGTCTTTAATTTTCCTTATTTATTCGGAACACTGCAACCATTTGTTTTGCCACACACAACTTACTACGTTTTTTAAGCACAATTTAAGATCACTTGGCACTATTTTATTTAATTGCACTTAACAATCACCTGTTGGTGCTTCGTGAGCTAGACGGTCCACAACTTCGTTACCGTGTATGCTAATATGAGATGGAACCCAGATTAATTATACGTGTTTGTTTTCCTTTGCAGCAATTGATTTGGTAATTGGAAGAAATTGTTATCAATTTTCACGGAAATTGGAGTACCACACAATTTGATTTCATTGATCAAAAATCTGTATAACCAAAACTTTAATACAAGTAAATCATTAACTAATTAAAAGTTTCTTATTGCCTAGGGGTATAGGATAAGGCTTTGAACTGAGTCAAATCCATTTATTAGATTTGTAGAATGAATTAAGAAGAAGACTATTGGTTATTTTAGAAATTTCATTAACATAATTTTTCGGGCTATCAGGCTGTCTCAAGCTAAATTTTCAATTAAATACGAAGACTAAGAGAATATTTTATTTGACATTCTTACTTTTTTTAATAAAATGAGTTACTTGTAATTTTTATTAATTTGGCTTCTTTAAACTGACGCTTGGAGTGTTCAGTTACGTTTGGATAGTATTTGGCTTATTGCTAATGTAGTTTCCTATGGATAGTTTAAAAATAAATGTATTTTTATAAATAAATTTATAATTATTAAACATAATATGTTGATTGTGCTTATTTATTTTTATTTCAGCTTCCGTTTATACACACAGCCAAAGAACTATCAAACAACAATCTTGAACTCATTGCTTCTCTTTGGATAGCCCCAGGTTGGATGAAAACAGATCCTGAATTTACTGCTAGCTACTCTTTTATTAAAAGTGATATGTACCAAGTGTATGCTGACTACTATATTAAATTTTTGGATGCGTACAAAAACGAAAACGTCAGTTTCTGGGGAATCACCACTGGTAACGAACCCATGACAGCATTTATGCCCAAGCCGATCCCAAGTGTCGGATGGTTCCCAGAAAGTCAAGTGAGTCAAATATATATATATATATATATATATAATATATATATATAAGAAAAGAAATTTATTCTTTGCAGATAAGTTAAATAGTAAACTCTTAAATATTGGGGAAATCTGCAAGAAAAACTCTAATGAGTATCAATTGTTTCGCCGAACGTTTTCGCAAAAGAGTATTAATTTGGCTTCTTTAGGGCTGAAAGAGAATAAATTATAATTAGATACCATATATTATATTAAAAACTTATGTCTTACGTAACTTAGAATTGTCGAGTTAGGATGTTAAAAAACTTAGCTAGTAACAACATAGTGGTGTTTTTTGTTACTATGTGCAAAAAAAAGTTTTTTTTTATATAACGTCGGAAATGTATAGTAGCTTTGAACTTAAAACGCAAAGGTTTACCCAAGGTTACTCGAAAAACCCAATGTAACTACATTTAAAAGGAAGTAATTTTTTGAATTGTCGGCAATAACTAAATTTTTAATTGATATAAAGTTTAAATGTGAGGTTCTGTTTTCTCAGAACGCATGTGCTGACAATTCAAGTAGTTCTTTTGAATACTTAAAGAAGCCAAATTAATTCTCTTTGGCGAAAACGTTCACCCAAACGTTACTCATCTGATCACTTACCAATGCAATACTGCTTACATTTTTGTAAAGTTACTCAATGTAAAAAACTATATATTGTCCCTGCTTTTTCTATTTATTCTTAAATTTATCATATTAATAGTTAAGGTAGATAGTCCGATAGCTGGGAACCTTTCTGTATGCATGGAATAGTGGATAGTTGAAAATGATTCTATCGTATGTAAAATGTTTCGCTAAATACAAATATAAAAAGAACAGGGAGACCCGCAGTCCCCATTACTATTTAACCTAGCATTGGAATACGCAATGCGAAAAATCTATACCAGAGCCAAACCAGACATAACTGCCAGAGGAGCAAAGATTATTCTCGCATTTGCAGATGATGTAGATGCAGTAGCACAGACAACACTGGAAGTTAAGGATATAGTATCGAACTTTGAAGAAGCAACACTAAGCGTAGGCCTGAAAATAAACGAAGAAAAAACTAAATACATGGTCGTATCAAAAAAGGAACGACAGCGAATAAGACAAAACATTACCATAAACGATCATAATTTTGAGGTGGTCAAAGAATTCAAATACCTAGGAGCAACAATTACCAGTGAAAACACAGGAGAACGGGAGGTTGAAATACGAATACTGGCGGGGAATAAATCATTCTTTGCCATTTAACATCTAATGAGGTCAAAGCTTCTCTCAAGGCGTGCCAAAATCCAAATGTACAAAACCATAATACGACCAGCAGTGACATATGGAAGTGAAACATGGACATTGAGAAAGAAAGAAATCAATAAGCTATTAGTATGGGAACGCAAAATCCTGCGAATTATATATGGTCCTTGCAGGGACAGCGTGACAAATGAATGGAGGAGCAGATACAACAATGAATTAGAGACTCTCTTCGGGAAAGGAAACATCGTAAGATACATAAAAGCCAATAGATTAAGATGGGCAGGCCACATGGTACGGAGTGATGACGACAGACTGATTAGCAATGTGTTTTGGGAAAGACCAGATGGTAGAAGATCGACAGGAAGGCCTAGAAAAAGGTGGAAAGACGCAGTCAGGGAAGACCTGGAGGAAGATGGAAGTAAGGCCATGGGAAATAATCGCACAGGATCGGAATCAATGGAAGGCAATAGTAAACGCGGCAAAAACTCACGAAGAGTTGTAAAAGCCAATGATGATGATGAATATAAAAGTAATTTTAAGTCAAGAAATCGAAAATTAACTTTTAGGTCCTTACATCTTTTTACATGGTGAATGTTTGTCTAACATCTGCATATAATTAGTATATTTCAACCTATTTGGACAATTTACTATTGGACAAAAATTGAAGAGACTTCTTTTTTATTGTGTTATACAAGCAATAAATAAATAACTTTTTGCCCTTGCAGAATCAACAAGCACACGACGGGCAAGTACATATCGACATAACGCGTGCTTCTAATGCTGTTTACAATTTTAAAATAGCTACTTAAATAGCCAAGTACACGTAATATCGACACGTACTAGCCCGTCGTATGCTTGTTTTAAATTGTTGCTTGTAAATTGTTTTTTTATAATATTTAAGTTCTCTAAATATTTTTAGGGTCGATGGATTAAGGAAAACTTTGGACCAACACTTAGAAACTCTGAGTACAAAGATATAAAAATTATTGGTCATGACGACAGTACTCTTTTAGTACCTTTGATACTAGAATTGGTAAGTATTATGTGAAAATAAAAATAATTATTCTGATTTGTATCCTATCTTATTGTGTCTTATCAAATATAATACAGGGTGATTCTGTGGGAATTTCAATAAGAAGTTTTAGAGAAATTTGACATATTCAATATCTGAAAATTTCGGATCAGTTGTTTTAAGATATGATTTAGCTAGAACCGCTTTTAATATAAGCAGTGGAAGCGTAGTACTGCTTAACTTTCTTGTATATCAGAGAGCCAAGAAGTAGCAGAGTACCCTGCAATGATGGCAAATTGCCATGATGGCATAAAGGGAGACTATAATAAATATCATTATTATTGAGAAAAGGCAGCAAATATTTGATTTCACGCAAACAAATCCTATATATCTCTTGATACGTATTTCGACCTAATAGGTCTCGTCAAAAGAGCTATTCATAGGGGTTCTCAACGTGAGAAAATCAATATTTTCTGCCTTTTAAGAAGCAACAATAACATGGCTTCAATACGGACGCACTAGCGACATCTAATTAAACAATTCAGATTTCTGCTTTATAATCTGAGCCTTCTAAGAATTGCAAGGCAAACAGACGTTGATAAAAGATGTTAAAAGAGACATGGGAATCTAAAATTTGCATTCCACGACATGTCTTTTACAACTAAGCAGAAATCCTTAGCGAATTGTGCTTCTAGTACTCACACAGAGTAAATCCGAATAAAATGAGAAAAGGCAGCAAATATTTGATTTCACGCAAACAAATCCTATGTATCTCTTGATACGTATTTCGACCTAATAGGTCTCGTCAAAAGAGCTATTCATAGGGGTTCTCATCGTGAGAAATCAATATTTTCTGCCTTTTAAGAAGCAACAATAACATGGCTTCAATACGGACGCACTAGCGACATCTAATTAAACAATTCAGATTTCTGCTTTATAATCTGAGCCTTCTAAGAATTGCAAGGCAAACAGACGTTGATAAAAGATGTTAAAAGAGACATGGGGAATCTAAAATTTGCATTCCACGACATGTCTTTTACAACTAAGCAGAAATCCTTAGCGAATTGTGCTTCTAGTACTCACACAGAGTAAATCCGAATAAAATGAGAAAAGGCAGCAAATATTTGATTTCACGCAAACAAATCCTATGTATCTCTTGATACGTATTTCGACCTTTTAACATCTTTTATCAACGTCTGTTTGCCTTGCAATTCATAGAAGGCTCAGATTATAAAGCAGAAATCTGAATTATGTTTCGAAACTATTTTACGATTGTTTAATTAGATGTCGCTAGTGCGTTCGTATTGAAGCCATGTTATTGTTGCTTCTTAAAAGGCAGAAAATATTGATTTTTCACGTTGAGAACCCCTATGAATAGCTCTTCTGACGAGACCTATTAGGTCGAAATACGTATCAAGAGATACATAGAATTTGTTTGCGTGAAATCAAATATTTGCTGCCTTTTCTCATTTTATTCGTATTTACTCTGTGTGAGTACTAGAAGCACAATTCGCTAAGGATTTCTGCTTAGTTGTAAAAGATATGTCGTGGAATGCAAATTTTAGATTCCCCATGTCTCTTTTAACATCTTTTATCAACGTCTGTTTGCCTTGCAATTCTTAGAAGGCTCAGATTATAAAGCAGAAATCTGAATTGTGTTTCGAAACTATTTAACGGTTGATTATTATTATTGTTTATTAACTATAAAAAAAGATAATCTGAAAGGCATTTTAAAATAAAGTTGGTTTTTGCAGATGTTTCACGATGAGGATGTGAAGCCATATATAGACGGCATTGGCTTACATTGGTATTGGGATTTTCTTGTTGGTCAGGAGAGAGTAAATGAAACACATAATGAATATCCAGATAAATTTATATTAATTACCGAGGCTTGTAATAGTAAGTACCATGTTTATAGTAAACTAAAAGCTGTTTAATTTTATTGTAATGTAATATTGCAATTCCATTTACTACTTTGATTGGGAATAAGCCACAATTTAACTTTAAAATAAGTTTATTTTAGCATTTCGATTTTCACATTGAAAATTGTTCTCTTTGAAAATCAAGCAAAATATCTGTAGTGGAAATTAAAATGCCAAATACTTAACTTGATAGTCAAATTGTGGCTTATTACCAACAAAAATAGTAAATTGTATTAAGGTGCCACAAAAGAATAGCTTCAGTACAATTGTGACATTTATAAATAGGATAAAATAGAAATATGCTTTATAGAAATCTACTGAAAATTGTACAAAAAAGGTTACAAAAAGTTAAAAAACATCAATAACAAATTAAATTTACTTAAATTCCACAAATCTTCAAGTAGCTTCTGTAATTTGTTGTTTTTCTAGAACCCCAAAAAGGAAGACTATTTCGAAGATGAAACTTGAGCATAGAAAAATAAGTCATTTAAAAGATAATAAATTGATTTTCTTTAAAACAGATCTTATTGCATAGCAGGCTGAGGCAAGTTTCTTACACAAATCAACATGAAGGGATCAGTTTGATTGTTGGCTATAAAAATACCAAAAAAAATTTAGAAAGTCAACGATACTGATCTGTCTGTTATTAAGAAGCAATGGTTAAAGAGTTCCTGTAGGATAATGCTGCCTACTATCTTATTTACGTTAAAAGAAAGTCAATTAAAATCGGATTAGGTTTTATTATACGTTATACTTGCATGAAGAGTTGAAATATTAGAGTTCCTCCAGGTGATACTGATATCATCAACAAAACGATAAATTTTCCTATGGATTTTTAAGTTAGTGATGTCATTTATAAAGATAAGATAAAGTAAAGTATCCATACCAAACCTTGTGGTACTCCACTTACAGTGCTTTTGTGACTAAAGTCAGTATCGTTTGCTCTAACCAGTTAATGTTTATTCCCCAAGTAAGATTGGAACCAATTCAAAGAAATACTTCGAATTCGACTGGCTTTGTCTTCCGCAAGTTAGGATTGTTTCATTTGCGATTTCTTTGATATAGCTATTGTGTAACAAGTAGAAACTTTGGGCGAGCACACTTCCTTGCGGCACTCTCGTCTTGATTTTATACGACTCTTATAGGGCCTTCATGCCATACTTTATCGAAGGCTTGTGCCAAATTCAGGATGATACTGTGTTCTGAATGACTCTCTCTAAAGCCAAACTGATCTTCTGGGGCTATTTTTTTTTTCGATGGTGAACTAGTCTTTGTTAAAGACTATTCACGTTGACGAAGTCACTACCTTTTTTTGGTTGGCAGGTATTTTCGAGATACTATGCAAAGCTACTGGCTTTTTGGGTATTGGTTCAAGACTAGCTTTCGTCAGTGTTTTTGATTGCAGGGTTATGTAGTATGAGTTTTTGAGCCATTTTTGCTTTAGATTTTGTGACGCATTGTTTAAATTTGTCTTGTCCTTCGAATATTTGGTTTGTTCCCATTTGCAACGTAATTTCCTTTTTTCAGTAATAAAAGTTCAAAATTTTTTTAAGATAATTTTTTATTTCTCTAATAATAGTGATGATTTTAATATTGTTTCATTCTGCTTGCTGTATCCGTTTGGTAAACAATTTAACTTCTGCATTTAACTGATTTTTAGTTTTTAAAGAGACCGACAAAATACCTAAGTCTTTTAGCTCATTTTTGAAGTTCTGCGAATCTGTCATTCTATTTACCTGTCTAGAGGGTCTCTTTCCCTACTATTTCGTCACTAATATGTCATCATCTAGTTGCCATATTATGTACTGTAAATATCATACATAATGATCTCATATACTGAAGATTAGGTATATAAGTCAACTTTTATAGTTGAAATACATCAAGACTACACGAGGTAATTTATGTGGTATTTATTGACAATAATAATCAATTCGTGTTAAAGAATGTATGTTAAAGGACAAAATGCTAATTCCAAAACCTGATTTAGTTAAATTAAATCAATATTTTTATACCGTTCTATATTATTCTTGTGTTCTGTACTATATTGTTTTTAATATTTTAGGCTATATTCTTCAACACGTGTTTTTAGGAGAATGGGAAGGAGCTGAACGTTATGCAGGTGATATTATCGAGGTAAGTACAAGTTGCTTAACGTTGGAGCTACTATATAACAAATACGAAAATTTTATCTTCTTGAACTTCTTGAAGTAGGCGAGTTACTTTCTGTTTGTGTTCGGGTGCTATCTCCGTAACCAATCATTTGTAAAACTGTTACTTTATGCATTTCCGTTAATCTAACCATTTTTCAGAATTAAATTGAACGAACTTTTTACTTAAATTAAAATACTGACAACTTAAATAAAACAATTTACTAATGCGTGTTAAAATAACGGTGCCTCGGAAATTTTTTAAAGTTTTTTAATGGTTAACATCTAAAAACCACATTGTTATAGTTTTTGTTCACTTTCTTATTATCCAGACCTAAACGGGAAATAAGTTTTTAGTATATTTTAGCGAATTTCGGTAACCACATGATTTTAATTTATTTTATCTTAATTAATCTTAATAAACTTGAAAGCGACAACATTTTTGAATGGAGAATGAAAAGAACTTTCAAACGATATATCACAAGCCTATACTTCCTATGTTAAAAATTGGGGGTTGTACCTGTCATTCTAAGGGGGTTGAAGGTAGGGGTTGTATTTTCACGTTAAAGAATGTCAAGTTATAATTTAAATTTGACGTGTTTCGGGATTTTTTATAAATATGTACAGTAACCTAAATAATGAATTTATTCCATTTGGCTTTTACACATTGTATAAAGGTAAATATTTTAAAATAGCTAATTATTTGTTTTATTTTCAGAATATAAATAACTGGGCCAGCGGCTGGATCGATTGGAATATGGCTTTAGACATGGAAGGAGGCCCAACATTTATTAAAAACTATGTAGACGCTCCTATAATTGTTAATTCTACCGCAAATGAGTTTTATAAGCAACCTAGTTATTATGCATTAAGTCACGTATCCAAATTTGCTCCAAAAGGTACAGTCCGTCTACAAGTTACCAGTGACATCAGCGGTGTGGGAGTAACCGCACTTATGAGACCAGATGGAAGCGTTGCCGTTATTATATTAAATACGTAAGTTATTCTTATGACCGTCTTTATAAGAGAGTAATTACTACTTAGCTCAGCCGAGTGCTATTTTTCAGGTAGAAGAGAGGTCTAACTGCTTTATGAATGAAATTTCACACCTTGAATAATAGCTCTTCGCTAAGCTAAATATTAATGTGTCTTTTATAAATATAATAGTATAGCATAACCAGCTAGTTAAGAGAGTCCTGATTATTTAGCTCACCGGTGTGCTAAAGATACTGATGATAATGATGATTTATTTGTTTGATTTTGTTCAGTAAAAAAGCAAAATTGGGGTGTATTTAATCCCCACGATAAAAACTATCGTGGAAAGGTTGCAGGAAGATTAAGCAAAGTTGCAAGCTGCCAAAATTAAGTGTTCCATGGAGGCAGTAAGAAAATGTTTTCTAAATAATGGCTTTATAATAAAAAATATCGTTAAACTCAAGTGCTTATGAGGTACAGAGTAAATAAAAAAGAAATTGTTATCTTAATCAGACATGAGATATATCTATAACGTTTCAAATTATGGTTAAGTACAATAGAATCTTCTGGATGTTGCATAAAAAAATTTCATCAAATAAAGGCAAACGCGTTACCATAATACATGCAGGAACAAACAAATAGTTTTATTCCTAATGATCTAACCTTCTCGTGGAAAAACCTAAAGGAATTTTATGTCGACTACCATGATTTTACCACGTCAGAGTTATTCAAGAAATAGTTTAAAACGAGGTTAGTTTCTAAACAATGTAAATATCTAATAGGTTTGTCAGAAGAAGATTAGCTACAAAATACTTAGCTCCAAAGTCGACCTTTGCAATAGCCGTTTTTTTAGATATAGAAGGAGAAATCATGGAGAAATGTGGTAGACGCATTCTACCATCGATTAGAGTGCTGTCAACTAACAAATGGAGCATATTTTGAACACTTAATAACGTAACTATTATGTTATATTCTAAACTATCAATTGTTACGTTTTAATGTATATGAAAATAGTTAGTATTAAAAAATGTATTGAAATAATTTAGGCGTTGCCAGACTTGTTTTATGTATTTAAGACCTTGCAGACTACATAAAATTATAAGTGTTACATATGGTTAAACTCGTATTTAATAGGTGATTCCAATAATGACTGAATATACAGGGTGATGCATTTGAAAAACCAAAGTTACTAGTAATATAAGAGGAACTGAAAATCTGGCAACATTGCAAATACCAAATATGGAATCTTCGTATCCCAAAATAGGCGCATCTCAAATGTTATATAGTTATGTTTAGTAATTTACAAGATAATTAGCAGTTTCCAGACTTTTGGGTGACTCTGTATATATTATACCAAAAAAATATCAGGTAGACAAGTCATATAAGTACGAAAGGTAAATATTGTTATATAGCATGCATTTGGGAGAAGTGGTTCTTAAGAGAATGCATATTTTTATATATTTTAATACAATGACTTTAAATTAAACATTATTGCTGTAGTGTTAATGCATAGATTTTCATAAATATTTTATATAGGTAAAGAAATTTCTTTACCTATTTGAAATGGACTCACACAAGCAACACATTCATAAATATTTTATATCTTTACAGGAATTTTGAAGAAGTAGAAATAACCATAAGAGACACCATTGGAGATATAAGTTTAAAATTAACAGCAAAGTCAATTACATCAGTAGTATATTTAAGATAAAACCAATTCATTTGTAAAACTTATTTGAATATACATATTCCAATCATTTGATTGCTTTTTAAATATACCTTTAGAAGATCTAACTTTAAACCCAAGGAGTGTATCTATTTTTTATAAATAAAATATTCTTGATTGTGCTTTCAAGCAGCCTACGAAAACTATAGAAACTTCTCAGGTCTCATTTATCAGATAGCTGTGTGCTCTAATGACGATTCAGCGAAAGAGTTCCCAATAAAAATTTAAGAACATGAGATTTCGAATCAAAATTTGGCGCAGTTATGTATTCATAACAAAACATAATTGCATTAGACGAGTTTCAAGGTGAAATCAAAATTAACGAAAATAGCATAGACAATATCAGGTATGCTGATGATACCCTCCTAATAGCAAACAACGCACAAACAAAACAAAATATAATAAATACGGTAGTTCGTCTTAAGGAAATGTTTGGTTTACCTCTAAATCTTTCCAAAACTAAAATTCTAGTATTTTTAAAGATACCATCAAACGTACATTTATATGCCAAGGGACAAATAATAATGGAACCGGTAACTTTCATAAAATATTGGGGAGAAAATATCAGCCAGTGTAAAAGAAAGAGAGAGAATTCAGAGCTGTGGCATCCGCTTAAAGGTTATACCCACCTTTCCCAATATATGCTCTTATCTCCTAATTGTTGGTCTTTTATTTATTTCTTATGATGCTGAAGCACAGATTTACCAAATATTTTTGCAGAAGAGAAATTAAAGATAAGACAAAATAAAATACAGACAATTACAAAAAAACAATTTACAATTTAATACATTTCTTGAAATTTCGAATATCTCGATGTGAACAAAAGTAGGATAATAAAATTAAAATAATACATTTATAAAATTATTGCATTTGTATCTTAAATGGACTAATTGCTTTATTCATAATGAAATAATCATTTAATTCATTAATAAGTAAACAAAATGTTCGATATATTATTTCTTTAAAGAAAAAATATTCTTTGTGAAAACATATTTTTACTTAGGATTTTTGTTAAGAGCTCTATTGTCTTGGGATTTGGTTTGCAATAACAGTCAGGTCCATGTTTTGCCTCAATGCCAATAAAGAAGTAAATTATTTATTTGTTCACTCTCTACGGAATACTCGGCGGGATTTTAGGTAATTGTTTACTTAAAGTAGGTAGTATTTTTTTAATAGAAAGCGTTAGTAAAAATAAACCTTTATATATCAGGATCTGGGAATTAAAAGGACACAACTCCATTTTTCTTTATCGAGTTAGTATCACAACAAAAATTATAACATTAAACTTTCAATATAAAAAAGTCAATCTTGTATAAATGGTTACCGATTTCTTAATTTTAATTTCGGGCTTATCTCTAAATCAGTTTAAATTAAAACGGCATAGGTGCACATAGAAAAAGTGTAAAGTTTGTTCTGGAAATACTACTGTAATACCTTTTACATAGTGTTATTTGCAGTTATCACATATGGTACAAATACCGGCCCTAGGAGACGAGTAACGCAGATAACCTGTTAAGACTCACATCGGCCATTCTGAAGAAGAGTGTTACAACTCAAATTTCTCTGTTTTAAAAATTTATGCAGTAATTAACCGAAAAATTGGTCTACTTTACTGAGAAAAATGATATTAACTGTAGATCAATATTTGTATGCGAGATTGCGACCTGCAACGTGGTAACGTCAGCAGTTTTGACAGACACCTGTGAACGAGAGTGTTACAATTCAGTTTAACACCGAATGTTTATGTGGGAATATCGCCGCTGGTGAGAAATAACATTATTTTTAATTTTAAAACATTTCAAGTGACTCTACTCTTTCTGAAATATTGTTATAAGTTGTTATAAAACTATTAGAATAGAATAGAAATATGCTTTTGTCACTGAAAATTATTGAACAATTTTAAGGACAAAGCTAAAAAATAAATCAGTCAAATAGTACAAAAAGTATAAAACAAAAACAAATATAGTAAAAAACAGAATAACACAATTCTAAATTAGTAAAATTATTGTATAACCTACATAATTTGTACCGACAACAACAAATGAGACAAATTGTAACCACTGCTTGAGACACCCAAATGTAATTATAAACAATACTAATTTTGTTTCTTTGTTATACATTAAGAAACTCGTCAACTGAATAATATGGTCTTTCTGAGAGATAGATTTTTGTCACCTTACGAAACTTAATGAAGGATGTTGCGGATTTAATTTCTCTTGGAAGGTGATTATAAAGTTTCTTTGCACGATATAGAATAGAATTCTTTACTAGCTGAGTGGACGGGATCGGCAAATAAACGTTACAATCCGAATTTCTAATGGAGTAGCCATGGTCAGGTCTATCGGGAAAAATGTTTAGATGCTTCGAATCAAACAAACCGTTTCCAAAATAAATAAAGAGGGAAGCGTCAAAATTCCGTGATTTTTGAAGTAGGTCTTGCAATGAGTTGTTTGTTTGATACCAAATAGCACTAAAGGATAGTATCTTTTTTGCAACTTAAAAATAGTATCAAATTGGGCCGCTGTTAATAGCTGCCGCTAGAACCCAAAAATGGAAGCCCATATCGAAGATGGGACTCGAACAATGAGAAATATGCCATTTTGGCAGAAGATAAATTAAGTTCCTTCCAAACAGATCTTATTGCAAAGCAAGCTGAGGATAGTTTCTTCCTTAAGGAGTCAATATGCAAGGACCATTTGAGATCACTGTCAATGAGAATACCTAGAAATATCACGGAATTTACGATATTGATTTGGCTCTCATTCAAAAGCAAGGATTGCATGACTCCTTTATAAGATAATGCTACAGTCTTATCCACGTTAAAGCTAAGTAAGTTGGAGTCTGACCAAGCCTTGATTATAAGTAAATCAGCGGTTATAATTGAATGCAGCGTTGAAATATCAAAGCTGCTCCAAGTAATACTGGTATCATCAGCAAATAGAAAAATTTTTCTTTTAATTTTCAAGTAAGTAATGTCATTAACGAAAAGTAATAAAAGAATAGGACCTAGTACTGAACCTTGCGGTACTCCACACTCAATATCTTTACAACTAGAGTCGGTGTCATTTATTCTAACCAATTGTTTCCTACCTACCAAGTAAGTTTTGAATCAGTTCAAAGACACACCCCGAATTCCATTGAAAGTAAATTTTTTTAATAGAATATCGTGATTTACGCAGTCAAAGGCTTTGGAATAGTCGCAGAAAACGGTGGCGGAGGAGAGGTTTCTGTGTAGTGATAGATATACATCATGTAACACAGAAAATATGGCATCACTAGTGCATTTATTAGACAAAAAGCCGAACTGATTTTGCGATAAAATATTATATTTAAGGAGAAAGGGCATAAGTCGAACTTTTATAAGTCTTTCAATAATTTTTGATAGTGCTGGTAACAAGGCAATAGTACTATAGTTGCAGGCATCAGATTTTTCTCCACCTTTATGAAGAGTAATGACGATGGCAGTCTTTAGGCAGTTAGGGAATGTACCTTTTTCAAGGGAATCATTTACTAGCGAGACCATGAATATTGAATATCGGGGTAAGTTGAATATTTAGTGTCATTAACTGTGAAAACAGTTTTATATTTGAATGTGACTTTTAGCTGTCATAGATTTTGTTAAGAATACAGTAACACTGTGACTTATGATAGTCTTCTCGAAAAATTTGAAATAAATTGTGGTTTAAGTCTAAATGTATCTATATTGTGCAGATTTCAGTTTATGTATTTGTATTATTTAAGATTCATTTTTAAATGTAATCCTAATCCATAATAAACTAATATATAATTATATGGCATTTCGTATATATATTTAATGAAACATTAGTATTTGTGAATACGGTAAGATTATTATTGTAGATAGAAGAACAAAATAGGAAAATCATAAAAAGATAGGTACCAAAATACAAGACAGAATAAGATCACACACAGATTCAATTCCGAGAGTCGAGGCTCACTATTGTAGAGCTATTAAGTACTTCACGCGAAGTTATAAAGGTAGAAAAGCATTGTCAAATTTACAAAGAGATTATGTAAAACTATGTCAAGAGGAGTAATTTTAATAAGGAAATTACCAATTTTGCAGCAAAATCTTTAAGGAGGAGTATAACCTATCTTTTCATGTACCAAAGAAGGATCAGTGTAAGTTGTGCTTCGAGTATCACAAGTGTTCAGAAACAAAGAAAGCTAAATTGGAAGACGAATATAAAATACATTTAAAGGAAAAGGTACTCAGTCGTTAGAAAAACAAAACGACAAATAGAAGACTGCCGATGATGTGACAGTTTTAGTTTTTTTTTTATAGCCCTTTTTCTATCCGAATTGTCGAATAAAGGCCTCTCCCTTTTCTCGCCATTCATCCCTGTTGTGTGCTAGGCGTTTCCACATTGGTCCTGCGACTCTTTTAATATCGTCGCTCCAGCGCATTTGAGGTTTTCCTCTTGGTCTCTTCGCATCGTACGGTCACCAGTTTCCGACTTCTTTGTTCCATCTACCATCTTCGAGACGTTCGTTGTGTCCAGCCCATTTCCATTTTAATTTTTGTTCCGGATTGCTCCGTTCATTTGCCGATCTATTAGTGAGATTTCAAGCATATGTCGTTCCATGGCTCGCTGAGTTTTTTGAATCTTGTCCATGTTCTTTTTTGTGAATGTCCAGGTTTGAGCTCCGTAAGTAAGAACGGGAAGAATACAAGAATCGAACACTTTGGTTCGAAGGTTTTGGGGTATCTTTTTGTCTTTCAGTATGTATGAGAGTTTTCCAAATGCGGCCCATCCCATTCTTACTCGTCTGCTTATTTCGGTAGTTTGGTTTTCTTTGTTTACCTTGATATTCTGACCCAGATATATGTATTCTTCTACATGTTCCCCTTTTGTTCCTTAGATGGTTATCGTCGGTTGATCATCTTTATTCGACATTAGCTTAGTTTTTACTCAGATTCATTTTCAGTCCTTTTTGATGGATTCCGTATGAAGCTCATCGATCATCGTCTTCAGTTCTTTCGAGCTGTTGGTTATTAGTACTACGTTATCTG